GGAGAGAGGGAGAGACGAGGAGACGAGAGAACGGACGACGAGAGAGAGAGATCTGAGAGGAGGAGAGAGAACGGAGGGAAGGGAGAGAGAGTGGAGAGAGAGAGAGAGATGAGAGAGGGTAATATCACAGACGAAACACCGCTTTGTAGATAAAAAAAACAAATTCAAAATAATGGTTAAGGCTGTTTAAAATATATTAGCAAGCTTTAGAGAATGTACATCTCGAGCTCGCTATTGAATTTTTCAAAAACACCCTTAACCTATTATGGGAATTTTCGTTTATATTGTATATATAATATTTACCTTGCATCTTTATCCAGAACGAGAACCGACCGTCTGATCCAACAGTTGCGAGCGTACCATGAGCCGGATGGAATGCTATGTCATTCACCTGAAAACATCAGGGATCATCGTATCACGCCTAAAGCCGAAACTGCCGTGCAAAGACAGTTCGTCAAGCGAAAAAAATAAGTCCACTCAAGCTAGCGAGGGTACAAGCAAGTACAGCACTAGTAATACATTCAATTACCATACGCGTAAGGATGACGCATTAAGAATCACAGAAGCCGAAGAACTAAGAAGCTGAGAAAACCGAGTCTACAAAATACACTGCAGTGAATAACTCCCTGAATGAAATGCATCCAACACAAATAAAGCAATGACACTGGCCAAAGATGGCAGACCACGCGCACGCCCGGGAGCGTAGCAAGGCGCGCAGTCGACACACAAGTCTAGCGAGCGACGCCCACCGAGAAAATGTCTTGCACGGACGACGACGTTCCGTTCGACCTGTGGCACTTGAAGGTGAAGTTGTCCTTGGGGTTGGTCGCCTGCACGTACTGGATGGCGACGCGACCTTCAATGCTGCCCAGCGCGAAGCCAGTCGGTTCATTCTTCTTCATGTCGTTGAAGATCGAAATGCACCGGTGCTGGGAAACACATATGAATTTATATGTACACACGCACAAAACGTAAAAAAACATGTACGTCAGTGAAGAAATTATATAGAAGGAGAGAGATGAGCAAGAGAGCCCGAGCAGAAACGAGAGAGACAGCGCAGCAGGAGAAGAAGAGAGAGAGCAGACGAGAGAGGACGAATGAAGAGGTAGAAGGATAGAAGAGAGAGCCGAGAGAAGAAGACATGACAGAGGAGTAGACACACACAGGACAAGTACGAGAAGAGAGAGAGCGAGAGAGAAGTAAAAATCACAGGACCATACACATCCTTGTAGATAAATAAAAAACAAATCAAATAACAGGCTTTACGAGTAAATGGTTATTACGCGGAGCATTAGAAGAATAGTACATCATCCGAAAGCTCGCTAATTAAATTTTAAACACCTCTTTAACCTATTATTGAATTTGTTTTATAGATATAATACTTATATAGTATCTATAGACCGTTGCTTCTTTATCCCAACAAGATAGGGAGTGTGAAGTCACCCTGCGATCGTGCATTCGCAATTCATGTTGTGTGCGACGTTCACAATACACTTGAGATTGATCACGATTCACTGCATTGCTCAACTAAAGGCGTCAGTGAGGGTGGCAAGTGTATTCTCACCACGCGATTAAACTATATGAACCCCTAGGGCGCAATCAATAAACAATCTGTCCACGACGGAAACACTGGCAATATGCTTGATCACCTTTTCAATGTCAATCTTGTGCGTGTGCATTGAACAATGATCAGCCGATGGTATTAGACATTGTTCTCAGAAATTATGGCGAGTTCAATTCAATTCAATTCAGTTCAATTCAAGTTGACCGAAATGTGACGATAAGCATTATCCTATTATAATTTAATTAATTTTTCATCATGGCGGCTACTAAATGACAGCACGTGTAATCCAATCACACAGTGAGTTATAGGGAGTGACGTTTCCTACCGTTAGAGGTTCTTTGATGCTATCAACTGCTGATCAGGCTTATACGGTGTATTGTTCCTACAGCAGAAAACATGAAGTCATGGTAGCATGCATGGTTCTGCTCTTCCTTTAGGTTTCATACTCACTTGGAATCCCTAGGCAATCACATTGAAAATTAAAGGCTGTTATAATATATATACGAATATGACCGATGATTTAATTAATTATTAATTACATTGTACTTTTGCTATACATTTACGTGATAGTTAGCGAATATCTAAGCATAGATTTTGCATTTCATGAAACGTAAGTTTATGACATGACGAGTGAAAGTGTCTCATGTTTGTTCTTTGCTATATAAAGTTGGCTTGCTTTAAATTGGTTTATATAATATAAGGCATTTTGAAACTTTTAACATTATTCTCAAGTAGTAAATTTAAAGATCATTAACCTGATATAGTAAGCCATTGTTTGATTCCTATTGTCGTAGGAGTTTTTGGCTACCAAATACGTATACAGTATTATCAAGAGCATATAAAGAAGAATATAGCCTTCTTAATATGCTCTTGGTATTATGGTTATGCATGGTTATAAAAAGAAACAACTGCAATTATAAGCTTCAGATTGCTTTTTTCGTCACCTTTCGAATTCGCACAAACCGTTTAAATATCTGCTGACCACGTGTTTGGTAGCAGAAAGCAATTATGGCTTATTGCAAGTGTTTTAAGAAGGTAGTGCTTTTAAAGTCTTTTGGTCTGTAAACATTCCATTTTAAAACGTCTTTTCACACTGTCATCGTGTTGTTTCTCTTAACGACTGTCATGTGGCACAGCCACATTTACTGCTTTCGAAACTCGGACGAGTTTTACAGCATGTAATTATTTTATCAATGTAAAATTGCTTCTACATTCCAATAAATTTCTCTATGGAATTATTAGCTTAAGCTTTAACGATTAAGACGTTCATTAACGTTCATTTAAACGTCAGCAGTACTGTTGAGCGTCAACTGAACTGTGAACTATGTACGTTACATTCTGTTAAGAACATTTGCCATAATTATTTCAATATAAAACTGTTTATTGTATAAGCATATACTGTCATATATATACATGGATATCTCACACGTCAATAATTCATTCGTTGATCCACTAGTCTCTCACTTCTTGTTACGCGGCTTCAACTCTTCGAAGCAGGAATGCAGGAAAATGCTGCTCCGTTTCTGTGGGTTGTGATATTCGTGACCCTGTAGACAAGCAATGAGCCAATCTAAGCATCGACCAAGCACACAGCAACGTTGCTCCAAAACTCAATCCTAAATTTTTCATAATGTAAGTAATTCCCTAAAAGAGTACACTCTGCTTAAAATACATGATGAAATTACCTTCGACCAATCATAACTTGTACAGTAGGCAAAGAGTTCACCGCCGGCATTGAAGGCGCATGCCGACACGGGCTGATCAAGCTGTTCGGATGTTTTCAATTTAGTTCTGCAAACACACAGAATAGGTAAACGAAACAATAAATTAGAAACAACCAGACAAGTTCACTGATAGCAAACTTGCAGTGCCACGTTTACTTAGTATTCCAGCATACTAGTATCAGAATACCAGTCATGTATATATCTGTCCTACAGAAGTGGTTTCACTGTGTAACCTCTACTCAAGGGAGATGCCACGTGTCCTCTACACACAGGTGCCTGTTCACTAGAGGTGTCTTCCAACACTTTTCATTATATATATATATATATATAGTACCTTGCATCTTTATCCCAGAACGAGAACCGACCGTCTGATCCAACAGTTGCGAGCGTACCATGAGCCGGATGGAATGCTATGTCATTCACCTGAAAACATCAGGGATCATCGTATCACGCCTAAAGCCGAAACTGCGTGCAAACAGTTTCGTCAAGCGGAAAACATATAAGTCCACTCGAAACTAGCGAGGGTACAAGGCGAGTTACAGCACTCGTAATCATGTCACATTACCATACGCGTAAAGGATGACGCATTAAGAATCACAAGAAGCGGAAGAACATAAGAAGGCTGAGAAACCGAGTCTACAAATACATTGCAGTGATAACTCCCTGAGATGATGCATCCAACACAAATGAAGCAATTGTGACACTGGCCAAGATGGCAGACCACGCGCAACGCCGGAGCGGTGAGCGCAAGTGCGCCGCAGGTCGACACCAAGGTCTAGCAGAGCGACGCCCACGGAGGAAATGTCTTGTCACGGACGACGACGTTCCGTTCGACCCTGCTGGCACTTGAAGGTGAAGTTTGTCCTTGGGGTTGCGTCGCCTGCGCACGTACTGTGATGGCGACGCGACCTTCTATGTGCGCAGCAGCGAAGCCGTCGGTTCATATCTTCTCATGTCTGCTTGAAGATCGATATGCACCGGTGCTGGAAATCATGATGAATGTATATATGTACACACGCACACGCACGCACATACGTATGTATGTGTGGATACATACATACATACTGGTGCTGGAATATATATATGAATTTATATATACACACACACGACGCACGCACGTCGCCACGTGTGTATGTGTGAAATAGACACTACATTACAATACTGGCTGCTGGGATGTGTAATAATACACACGACGCGGACGCACGCAAATGCACGGGCACTACGTTTGTAAGAAAAACTGTGTGGATGATTCCTACTACACAGCGGTGCTGCAGGGGTGTATATATATTGTAAATAAAAAAACATGTACGTCGGTGAAGACATAGAATATAAAATAGAATATATAATAGTGTACAAGTTCTTCTAAAAACATGAACATCATCATTAATAGACTCTGTATTTCTATTATACCTCTATTGTATATTCACGCCAGCAAGGATGCACACGCACGCACGCACGCACGCACGCACGCACGCACGCACGCACGCACGCACACATATTTATAGAGTAATATTAATTCCCGGCACGTTTTCTAAACAAATAGAAACAACGTTATTCCGTAATGATTGCTGAACTGGAAACGTGCCAGCTCGTGGCCAGAACAGCAAATATGTCGACGCCCTCACACCCCGCACACAAGGCTCTACCTGATATTTGAGTGGCGGTTCAATTTTTTTGAACTCCTGCGGTTGATTCTGTAGTTGATAAATAATGATGCCGCGGCCTGCGAGTCCGACTACTGCCATTGGATACACCTAGGTAAGAAGAAAATGGCAGGCACACATAGCAAATATTACTCTCAAATTTAAACATACCATCCCATATAATGTGGCAATTTAAGTTGAATACATTCATTAGATATTTCATCACATTTGCACGCAAGTGAAGTCATCAGCTTACATGTTTGTATATCATCTCGCAGGGTGCGAAATTAATGGGAGTCCAGAGTCAAATTCTCCCTGATTTACTGCCGGACTCCCTGATTTGACATATGCAGGAGTCCGTGTAACTCCCTGAAAATTCTGCCATACTAACTATTTTTTCAGCATATGTCCAAAGAAAATTTGACAGACGTGCAACTGCATGAATCTTCAAAATAAGCACATGCGTTATTGTTAATATCTCTAATTTTGAACTTCAGTGTGCGGACTCCCCCATTTTGCCGCGGACTCCCTTGTTCAAAAGTTAATTCCGGATCTCGTAAACTGAATTCTCACCACATCTGCACAGTACACTCTCTCGGGTAGTTGGATGGTCATCATTGGGTTGGCAGATCGCAGGTCCCAGAACTGAAAAACGAATAGGACTGGATCTTAGATAGAAAGAAATTAGAGATACGCAGGGCACGAAATTAGTACCGGCCCACCGGCATATGCCGGCAAATTATTTGGAGGGTCGGTAACATTGGCAAATCACCGGCCCTCCCAGCCGGTGGCTTCAGCCGTGTTAGCGAGTACGTACATTTTTATTTATAGCCTACATTATTTATAGCAAATAGCCTACATTACTGTTTTACCTGAAGGATATCATGCCATATCTTATCAACATTTTACAAATTTGAAATCGAGAATGCAAGCGTGAAACATGACATTGATTTTACAAACAAATTTGTGAGGGCTGGTAAAAATTACTGTTACCAGCCCTCTGGGCCGGTGCAAAAAAATCCGAATTTTGTGACCTGGATACATGATTAAAATAGCTGTCAATCATAGGTTTATCGCATTAGACTCCACATTAAATACTCACTTGTGTTGGTTCCCAATAAATACATCATACACACCTTGAGTGTCTTGTCCCAACTTCCAGTCATAACACAAGTGTAGTTAGGTGCCTTAATTGTGTGTATAGTCCGTATTGGTGCATCGTGCTGCAAAATTAGCAGTTTCATTTGTAAAATGGCATCACATGTTTCGAACTTTCACAAGTCTTTTTTTATAAACAAAATATCAAGACGTACGTTTACTCTTTTATGTTTAGGTGTAGGTAGAGAATCGTATTTTTTTACATACCTGCGCAACCTGTACGAATTGGTTAGTGTTTAGATCCCACATCTTCGCCGTTTTATCACAGGAAGCTGAGAAAATCTTCGTACCATCCTTCATGAAGCCAATTTGAAAAAGAAAACAATATTCATTTGATTATTGACAATACTCCCAACAGTGAGTTTCACGCAAACCTAACTCATACGTTCTTTTACTGATGTCTGAAAGTGATTTAGTTTTAAGTTGTTAGAAGCTGCTTGCTACATTCTTTTTTTCTACGAACTTGTAATCTTTGAGGGTCATTGACTGCTCATCTTTTCACAATCAAAGGTTAACTTCTAACCCTGCTGAAATTAATTTGATTTCACTTGTCGAAAGTACTTTACTAACCTCTAGTTTCATTAAGTGCATTTAGGAATCCTTTTGTATTTTCCTAGATTAGAGCAACCTAACTATTATTACCATTTGCTGCATGAATCTCAAAGCTTTAAGAGTAGCATGATATGTAATAAGATCTTTGCAACTACTTTTGACCCTATATTTTCCGGACCCCTCTTTCCCGGATTTCGGGAAAACCGGACCATTATCTTTACCGGACATTTATCTTTACATATATACTGTATTACATTTATTGACATTGTTTATTATGTCTGTGTATTGTTCTTACACTATTATATTTTTTATACAGCTGTTATGCGTACTACAGTTTAATGTTTCAGTAAAGTTTGGGGGTATTTTTTACATTCGCCGGAAATTCGGACTTTTGCATTTTCCGGACAGGTAGTCCCCCTTATTAGTCCAGGAAATCGAGGGTCAACAGTACTCTGAGACTTACCTCACTCCAAGCAACACCGAGCACAGGTCCTTGATGACTCTGCTGGGCTCTCAGCACAGTATGCACCTGGTTGCCCTGTGCTTGTATTTCCCAACACCGTACCTACGAAAAAGAACAAGAATAAATTCGTCTTCTTATTATTAAATCTTTATTGCATGTAATTCCAATACGTGTACTGAAGACAGTCTTTTTCATGAAGAAACAATCTGATGGATGCAATAGGGTCGAGCAGTTTAAAAATACTGCGAACGGATGCTCCTCGAACGTAGAAGAACTGACGTAATTTCGAAATAGGGCAAACTTGTGTTTGGAAGGTCTGCTATACTCACAGTGTTATCCCAGCTTGCACCAACAAGGAAATTCGTAGGCAATGCTGCGGGACTGAATTTCATGCAGCTGACGCTGTCTTCGGGTGGCGACTGAACCTCAAAGTCTTTCATGGGATTGTGTGCGGCGGTTGATCCAAACGGTAGACTGAAGGAGGAGTTCTGGGTCCCAAACAGGCTCATCGTCTGTGCTTTTAGTTACGCCTCTTACCTATAGGTTAATTCTGTAAGCAGTGCAACAAAATAATACATTGCAAACAAATAATAATGCAAATTATTTTCTCGTTCGATGATTGTTTGGTAATACTAATAGAGACACATGACTTGAGTCACAAGTCATATGATAATAATACCAAGAGCTAATAAATACCTAAAGTGTACAACGAGAAAACGAGAAAATAGTGCTATTTCACAGCAATATTATTCTACTTAAAAGCCTTTGTATGCGGTTCTAGACTAAGTTCATGGTAAATTGCGTTAACCAGCATTCTTTTCTCTCTAAAATAAGACCAACCGCTTGTCTCTACGATACTCCTAGGCCGAGATATTGGAGCATTAATCATGCCTCCCACAGGCCTCACGCCGCCTCGCATCCACAATATTCACTATCCTTCTCGCCTTTTGCAGGTCTGGCTATCGTTTTCCATCGCCGCTTGGAGCGCTGATAATTGATGTCACATGCCCAAATTTGGTACTCTTACTACACCATATACTAGTAACTGAGCTGCGTTGTAGAGACTTAATTTAGAAAACATTGCCGGCTCCATCATGACGGGCATTAGCCGTGCTAGGAAAGATAATGGGAGATAAGGGCATATAGGCGATGCCCCTGAAAGTCACCGATGATAACCGAAACGCCGTTCATTCATAAAGTTATCGCGGAAAAAACCGAACTCTCACGAAGCGACTTTCCTAACCTGCAAAAGGCGAGAAGGATAGTGAATATTGCGGATGCGATGCGCCGTGAGGCCTGTGGGAGGGGAAGTTTACGAGCCAATATCTCTGCCTAGGAGTATCGTATTGACAAGCGGTTACACTTGTTTTAGAGAGCAAAGAATTCTGCTTAATGCAATATACCATAAAATTATTCTAGACTCGCAGGCAAAGTAGAATATTATTGCCGTGAAATACCACTATTTTCCCGTTTTTCCATTGTACACTCTAGGTGTTTATTAGCTCTTGATAATACTGTACTCTGCAGACCACTGGCTGTAACTTTAAAGGGATCGTTTACTCTAGGTTCTAGGGTTATTTTCAGTTAATTTAGGTTAAAATTACGCTACATAAAAAGTTTCATGGTTCAATCACCATTAGAAATATTTTAAAAAAATGTTTTAAAACTAACGACTACAGTTTGATTACAACGGCGGTGGCGCCACTCAAAGCGCATGATCTGAAAAGTTGCGCAAAACGACTTTTCAGCCAAGGGCTACAGACCGAGGGTGTTTCTTATTTATGAATTTAAAAGCAAAAGGATTGTAATATCTTATAAATGACATATAGTTTCAGTTATATTATTGATAAATTTGTCCTAAAATGAACATCGTTTGGTTAAATAGCATTTAGGTATAAATATAATTGCACCGTTGTGATTAGCCATCGGTCTGAAACGTGCAAAATGCATTGGGAAATGCGCAACTTTTTCAGGGTGGCAGCACGGTCGCGGGTGTCAATGCCAATGGCGTCATTCAAATTTCGTAGCGTTGATGTATAATTAATTATAACAATTAACTTAGGTATCTGGTAACAAGTACGTGTGGGTATAGACGATCGATTTGTTATACAGTAATTTCAGTTGTATGCAGTAAAATCCTAGAGTCTAGTATCCCTTTATTGCTTTAATATATCATGTTCAAATGAAACTAAGTCAGTAAGCAGTGCTCGAAATAAGCGTTGTCCGGTTGTCCGAGACAACCAGAATTTGCGCCGGACAACCTAACCAGTCTGAGA